TACAAGGTGATGTAAAGGACGATTTGCTCGATATGATACCAGCTAAATGGCCTCAGGTGAGACTAATTGCTTAATTGAGCTCTAGTTTATTGCTACCATATGGTTACTTTGAAATTTGCTTTCAGGTACAAGAAGAGATGATTGATGATCTCGGGGATAAGAAGAGGTAGATGATCACTTGTGATGTTTTCATTGTGATTTTCTGAATAAATTGTTTGTCCCATTCTAATTATTCCTGTTCAATTAGTGTGTGGTATACTACCTTCAATTCTCGAGGGCATGAAATGTCACACGTTTGGCTTTTCGCTTCTGTTTCAAGTGGTTTCAGGATCAGGGAACCTTTGGGTTCTTCTGGTGGGTGAGCAATGCGATCACTGCTGACTCCGCGCCAGAGATCTCGTCTTTTAAACTGGACTCTTTTTGCAATTTCTGTGTTTTTATTTCATCACATGGAGTCGCGAAGGCGCGAAAATATACAAGAAAACTCCACTTGTGAGAATTCATACGGTATGTGTCTTAATGTTGGACTACCTCAATATCAGTGCAAGTGTTTTTGATTAATTTGTTTCTAATTTGCCTCGCTGTAGTGCACACACCTTTGCGCGACCTATCGCCAGCCGAGGTGGGTCAGAATACGTCGGTATTACACTTCCACTCAAATTTCCTGAATATATCATCTTACCTAGGGAATGCGTTTGATAAGAAATCGGGCACTATTCTTAGGCCGATGTCAGACTTTGCGAATCGCGCGATTCGCTAGCGTCCGCGGTCGCGTTGCGGTACCAGCCAATTGAGTGATTCACTGGCCGCGACGCGACCGCAGACGCTAGCGAATCGCGCGATTCGCAAAGTCTGACATCGGCCTTAAGCCGTAAAAATTCAAAATTTTATTTCTCGTCTAAATATGTCCATGGAAGTAGTTTGGTGCCCTGATAACGTCGAGTCAGTTACATCTCCGTGACACTTATGGAAGTTAGTACGGTCTCTGCGTTTCCCTATATTATGGCGGGATGCCTTTCAAAATGAAACTAGTCTTTCTGGTTTGTTTTAAACTCTTTTTTTGTCGCATTTACGACGCAATTATTGATCTCAGGAGTCAGTAAAACCTTTGGAGCGAAACTTAAACGTTTACTC